CCCCCCCGCTCCCAGGCCGTGTGCTCAGTGCTGTCGGAAGGAGGGGCGCCCACTTCCATGGGTAGCCCTGTTCCCACTGTTGTCCCCTGGGGCTGTGCTGACAGTCTGGGCGTGCGGGGGGGGGTGTCCCAGCGGAGGGGTGCCCGGGCTAAAGCCTCTGCCGGACTTTGTCTTTCCCTTTGGAAAACATTTCCCTGCCTCTGAGAAAGGAGGCCTTGGATGTCTAGGAATGCTAAAACACTTGCTTTGGAGGAAAAAGAAATAATGTGTTAAAAATAAAGTCAAAAAAGATGTAACCCTCTGATAAACAAAAGGCAATGCTTGCATAATTAACCAGTATAAATAACCTGTGACAATTTGTTTAAAAAACGGGCTGAGTTTTCCAGGATAATTGATAGCAGAAAGCAGCCCGCAGACCTAAAAGTGGATGTTTTTGTTGGCCCCGGCTGACGAAGGCGCAGGGTTGGCGCTCGGGTCTCCAGTCTGGGCTGGGGTGGTGACTTGTGTTCCCAACAAAGGAAATCTGGGGAGGGGAGCCGAGCGGAGAAGAGGGGAAAGTGGGCTGCCTGCTGGTCCAGGAGTCCCCGATTGTCCCCAGAAAGGAGTCCTGGTGGAGCAGGGCCAGGCCGGAGGCCAGCGTGGCGCAGCCGAGTTTCTGCCGTCGGCTCTTCTGGGAGGCACTTTCAGGCCCTCCGTTCAAACCTGGTTGACCAAGACACACAACTCAGCTGGGGGAGGGAAGTGCTGATGCCGACGGACATTGGTCAAAAAGGCTGCTCCAGAATGAGCATCACCAGCAGCCTACACTATCCCACCCATCAGTCTCAGGCTCTCTTGCACGACTCCACTTCTCCGAGATGCCGCCTGAAACCATTCTAGTTGTGCTGCTGTGAACTGACCCCAAGGATCCACCTGACAGTAGCCGGCAAGGATTCCCTGGGTTGGCTGTGACCGCTGTTGCAAGACGCGTTCATCTCAGACCCATTTCAGTCATCGTTTTGGCCCCTGTAGGTTTCTACAGCACAAAGCCTGTGATGTCCGCCCCACAGACTGCCCCGGAGCACAGGTCCTCTGATGTTCTCTGTAGCTGGCTGTCCACAGCTTGGCTGGTCAGCAACAAGCAGGGCTGTAGAATAAGTATTCATGGGCCTGAGCTCATGTCAGTCACTCCCAACCGGCAAAGACCCAAGAGGTCTTTGGGAAACAGACAGAGGTTGGGGTCAATGGCTTCCCTTGTTAGGAGCCAAGCGGGCCATGGAGTTCATACGTTGGCTGCAACAGATCTTTGTAAAAGAGAATTGTTTGAGGCCTGTCTCTGCTGGGGACTAGCCAGTTGTGGGGAGGAGCGGATGGTCCTTAGACATGAATCCCAGGCGTTCTCTAGCATGGACCCAAGAAGCGGGCAGGGGGTCTCGTTGGCCAGGGCTCACTCCTTTCTCTCTCTCTCTCTCTCTTTCTAGTCAGCGCAGAGATGAGCCAGGGCTGTGCCAAAGGGTGTGACCTCTGCTCCGAATTCAACGGGTGCCTCAAGTGCTCCCCCAAACTCTTCATCCTTCTGGAGAGGAATGACATCCGTCAGATCGGCATCTGCTTACCCTCTTGTCCGCTGGGCTATTTTGACGTGCGCAATCCAGATATGAACAAGTGTATGAGTGAGTCTTGGGGATGAGAGGGAGGGAGGGTTTGAAAACGCACCGCCAGAGCTTGCTCAGAACACATAACCCGTCTGGATGCTTTCACAGGGAAGCCAGCCACGCTGGAACGTTTCCATTACACGAGGTCTCTCGGTGTTGTTCTGCCTGATGACGGCCCCAGAAATGTACACCTCCACACGTTAGCTAGCCAGACAGACTACAATAAGAAACATTTGCTTCCTGTACTTAGGAGACCCTTTTTGGGAAGGCCTGCTGGAAAGATAAGCATCAGATGACTTTCCAAGAACTTCTTTCAGCAAATGTTTCTTTGGGGCAGGGGAGAAGAGAACCACCCTGTCACCACAGAGCGCTGTAGAGCCCAGCGGGCGGCTCCCTGCGCCTCCGGCCTGCGCTCTGGGATATGTGGCTCTTTCAAAGACAGAGGGGGAAGGAGTGGCGTGTGGTCGGCTCAGGGCAAAGAAGTCAGGCGGCTGCCACCTTCATTCCGAAGCAGGCGCCTGGCCCATGTCCCTCATCAAAAGACACTCGGTGCTGTTGTTTTAAAAATCATCTGATTTGGAATTTATTAGGAGGGACGCCAGTCTAGAGAAGGGGGAAAGGGGGGGAACGTGTTATATGGAAGAGATAAGTACAGCTGGTTCTTTTCATTTCTGTCTCGCCGGACACAGAATGCAAAATTGACAACTGTGAGGACTGTTTCAGCCGAAACTTTTGCACAAAGTGTAAGGAAGGTTTGTTCTTGCACAAAGGAAGATGTTACGAAACCTGTCCTGAGGGCTTCTCTGCTGCCAACGGCACGATGGAATGCAGCAGTCCGGGTGAGTGTGGACACGAGGCAGCGAGGGTGGGGTGGGGGGGTGGCGGTCTGTCTTCTGCTCTCTCTGCCGGCCGGCCTGCCTACTCAGGTCCGCAGTTTGGGTCCCAGGGGCCCATAAGGCTGGTCAGCTCGACAGGGTGCTTTCCAAGCCCTTCCCTGCCCAATGGCCCGGAAAAGGCCACCACGCTCTCCACGTTAGGAGCCTGACTTTCCTGGAACCCCGCATCCCAGTGCCAGGGTCAGTTCGCAAGCTTGGCAGAAACAAGCTCAGTGGCAAGTTGACGTCTCTACGTCGGGCCAAAGCCAGCTCCAGAGGAGACTTCTCAGGGTTCCTCCCACGGGCTGCAGCATTTGTTAAAACCCCTGAGGTGCATTCTAGTTATCACGAAAGGTAGGGAGGAGTGAAGGAGATCTCCATTCTCTTGACAGGTCTGAAAACAAAGCACTGTATTCTGACTTTTAGAACTAGGAATGCTTGCAATTGATATCACTGGATTTTGCAACTCTTCAGAGCTGCACCTCTTAAAAGAGCCATTTCCCCCAAACTGAACCGGGCACACCAAAGTATTTCCCCAGCCGCATACGACATAAAGGGCGGGCAGCGTAAGGGGAGATACTCTAAACCGCGGCAAGTGGGAGTGAGTCAGCGAGCATGCTTTTGTCCTTCTTCTTCCTTCCCCGCCCCCCCCAGCCCAATGTGAAATGAGCGAGTGGGGGCCGTGGGGCCCTTGCTCCAGAAGGAGAAAGCTGTGCGGCTTCCGGAAGGGCAACAAGGAGCGTTCCCGGTGGATCCTGCAGGTGATCTCGGGCGAGGCGTCCGCCTGCCCGCCCACCACAGAGCTCCGAAGGTGCACCGTTCAGGGAAACCAGTGTCCAGAAGGTGAGTGAATGGTGGGTCCTTGGGGGGGGGCTGCCTGGCTCCTGCCCCCTCCGCCCTTTGGGACCTAAGGTGGAGAAATGCTGCTTCCCCCCCCCCCCCTTCCCGCACCGCCCCCTCGGCATCTCCCCCC